TCCACATGCCTTAAAATTGTCAAGGTTCAGAAACACTGCTCTAGAGAAGGCTTAGAAAGCTTCATCCTGATGGTGGCATTGTCTGCCAATTCCTTTACCATCTTTTGACCTTTCCCCCCCCCCCCCAGCCTCCATGGGAGCAAGTTTTAGTCAAGGTTTTTATCAGCTGCCATTATTTAAAATAACAAAGTGGGGTGAGATGCTCCTCCAACATAAGCGGTGTAATTTTATTCTCTTATTCCACCATCGATCTGCAAAATGTTTTCGCAGAATAAGTCTCTCAAGTGGCTAATCTACTGTCAGCACTCAGTGTGACCGAGTTTTTTTTACTGGGTTGCATTTCCTTGTTTTGAAGCGCCAATATTTTTGTACTTATTCTGCTGGATTTCCAAACGAACGAGGGGAGCAGAAATTCTAGGAAGAACAATTAAAACAATTGCTTATTATGGAAGACTGCAAAGCCCCGTATCCATAAATCAACAACTTCATAATTGCTTCCTTTCCTTTACGGAAAAGCGACTGTATTCATAAATCAAAACCTTAAATATTGATTGGTACACTTCAAAAAGAATTAATGTTTGGAAAGTTTCGTTAACTTTGTACCTTGGGGGAATTTGCAACTGTGGTGGGGGTTTTTTTCTTTCCTTCTAAAAAAATAATAAAAAATCTGTTCACAATTGTTGCCGTTTTTTGACCTGTGACGGGTACAGATGGTCCTTCCTCCCTAACAAAGCAATTGAGAGAAAGAATGATTCATATCAAGGCTATGCTCTTCCTGAACAGAACATCCAGATCCAAATTGAAATGAGTTCCCTGCTGAAATATTAAACCTTGACCTCTGCTTTTCAGAGCCCGCTCTTCTTTTAGAAGGGGGGAAAAAAAAATAACATCCCATTATCATTAACCTGAACACATTGGATTGAAAAATGATTCCGTGAAAAGAAGCGACATCTGAATGGCTGGGTGTAAATAATACATCCATGTTTTCACCGAGGTAACATTTCCTACAAGCTCAGCAGCCCCCCAAAGATCAGCTGTCTGCACAAAGAGTTAGCAGGGGAGGTTGACCTCCATTCACAAGACCCTGGTTTTTTATAAAGCAAGTGATAATGACAGGGGTGTGAAGCATCATTAAGGTCTTCTCTAAACACCCAATACTGTGGACAGGCTCCACTAGACAAGATCCTTTCCAGGCTGGACTGGGAAGTTATTTTTTAAAAAAACACCTTGCAAAAAATACATTTTTTTCTTACTTTCCAGTCTAGTCTGAGCAGGATAAATCAAAGGACTTGTCTAGTAGAGTTTGTTTGTGATGTTGGGTGTTTAGAGAAGAAGAAAAGTAATTTGGAATTTGTGTCTGCGTGCACACACAAACACACACACACACACACTCATATCAAACAAACTCCAAATTACTACACAGTACATGTCATGCCCTTCTCAAATGAAATCCATTTCCTCAAAATTGGGCAAAATCCTTTCTTTACGAACCGGAGAAAATTCTTGGATAAAGCAGTCGAGGCAAGAGAATGGCAAGACTTTTATGTATTATACTTGCCTGATCTTATTAAATAGATAATGTGAGTAATATAAACAAACTGTGATCAGAATGCCATTTTAAAAAAAAAAATAGCCCACAGCATGTTCTCTGGAAACCCCTTCGGTGAGATCATTTCTAAGCCGTATTTTTAGCAGAACTGCTGAACTCCCGTGGTTAATTTTAGAAGCTTATGCTTCCTTTTTTAAAGAAAGCTTAAGAGTTAGAAATAAGCACAAGGGTAAATAGAAATGTCTAAAATTGGAAGGATGTCACTTCATCGTTGGGATAGTGGTTTTGTCTCCAAAATGTTGTGATTAATGTTGGAAGCATTTCAGATATTATAATAATAATAATAATAATAATAATAATAATAATAATAATAATAATAATAATAATAACAACAACAACAACAACAACAACAACAACAACAACAATAATAATAATAATAATAATAATAATAAAGTTGGAAGGGACCTTGGAGGTCATCTAGTCCAACCCCCTGCTCAGGCAGGAAACCTTATACCATTTCAGACAAGTGGCTGTCCAGTCTCTTCTTAAAAACTTCCAGTGTTGGAGCATTCGCCGCTTCTGGAGGCAGGTTGATCCACTGGTTAATTGTTCTAACTGTCAGGAAGTTTCTCCTTAGTTCTAGGTTGCTTCTCTCTTTGGTTAGTTTCCATCCGTTGCTTCTTGTCCTGCCTGCAGGGGCTTTGGAGAATAGCTTGACTCCCTCTTCTCTGGGGCAGCCCCTGAGATACTGGAAGGCTGCTATCATGTCCCCCCTCGTCCTTCTCTTCATTAAATTAGACATACCCAAATCCAGCAGCCTTTCCTTATATGCTTTAGCCTCCAGTCCCCTGATCATCTTTGTTACTCTTCTCTGTACTCTTTCTAGAGTCTCAACATCTTTTTTACATCGTGGTGACCAAAACTGGATGCAGTATTCTAAGTGTGGCCTTACCAAGGCATTGTAAAGTGGTAATGTTGTGATTAATGTTGGAAGCATTTCAGATACGATGCTACTACGATTTCTAGACACTCGTTCCAGCCACCCTTAAACGGGGCAAAACTCCGTCTGCACAAAGGAGGAAACAGAGCTTGCTAGGCCTTGGAGGGTCACACACACACACACACACACACACACACACACACACACACACACACACCTCCAAAGTGTTGCACTTCTACGTAGGAATATTTTTCTGGAATAGCTCTGTTCCCTAGTGTCACGAGAGAAGGAAGAAAAATGTTTCCCTTTCAGCTAATATAAATGTTCAGGTTTTTGCAGAGCTGATCTTGACAGCAACCGAGTTGCAGCTAAAAGTAGCCGCGTTCATTTGTTTGGCATAAAAAGGCGAAGACAGGGGTATCACAAATGGAATTTATCCTGCTCCTCTCTGTAACCCGCAGCTTTCTACAGATTTGGATTGCTTTTTTTTTTTTTTTTTAAAGTCTTCATCTGGCCCTGGATCACAAATACGAATCACGTCTTTTTTCCCCTATTATTTTTCCTTTTTTTTTTTTTAATGGCCCTTAGAATCAAAGAGCAAAAAACAGACAGGAGTCTTCCAGGGGGAAAGCCTCGGAGGAAAAAGTGTGAAAATGATCTCCTAATAAGAACTAATGAGACGAGGAAAGCTGCAGAGGAGATTTTTATAAAGATGCAGCATCTGTAAAAAAAGACCGCCTGAACTGAAAGTGATAAAGGAGAAGTCAGCAAAGGAGAGGTGGAACATTTAGACAGATGGCAAAGAATCCAGCTGCATTGGGGGCACGGGCGGAGAGAAATGAAGGCTAACAGAAACAGAATAAGAATTGGAAGAGACCTTGGAGATCTTCTAGTCCGACCCCCTGCTTGAGCAGGAGACCCTGTACCACTCCAGACAAGTGACTGTCCAGTCTCTTCTTAAAAAGCGTCAGTGATGGAGCAGCCACGACTTCTGGAGGCAGGCTGTTCCACTGATTAACTGTCCTCACTGTCAGGAAATTTTCTCCTTAGTCCGAGGTCCTTTCCAGCCTTAATAATAACAATAAAGTTGGAAGGGACCTTGGAGGTCATCTAGTCCAACTCCCTGCTCAGGCAGGAAACCCTATACCATTTTGGACAAATGGCTGTCCAGTCTCTTCTTGAAAACTTCCAGTGTTGGAGCATTCACCGCTTCTGGAGGCAGGTTGTTCCACTGGTTAATTGTTCTGTCAGGAAGTTTCTCCTTAGTTCTAGGTTGCTTCTCTCCTTGGTTAGTTTCCATCCGTTGCTTCTTGTCCTGCCTTCAGGCGCTTTGGAGAATAGCTTGACTCCCTCTTCTTTGTGGCATCCCCTGAGATATTGGAACATGGCTATCATCTCCCCCCTCGTCCTTCTCTTCGTTAAACTAGACATACCCAATTCCAGCCACCGTTCCTTATATGTTTTAGCCTCCAGTCCCCTAATCATCTTTGTGGCTCTTCTCTGCACTCTTTCTAGAGTCTCAACATTTTTTTTTTACATCGTGGTGACCAAAACTGGATGCAGTATTCCAAGTGTGGCCTTACCGAGGCATTGTAAAGTGGTATTAACACTTCACAGTAAACAATACCCCAATCAGGAAACTGCCAAAGAAGCCAATAGCAAACAACCCAATCAAAGAATCTCTAAGACCACCTCCATCAACACCGACAGGGCAAGCCACTAGAATATAAACTGACAGCAAACTGACAGTTATTAGCACTGATGATGTTACCTAGTTGGGGTAATGAAATGTCTGTAAGAAAACAAGCAAGCTCAGAGAGCACCAAGGACCCCACATTTCTCCTCCACCTCCTTCTCTCCTTCTTCCTCTCTGCAAACCCGACACCCTTCTAGCACTGATGATGTTACCTAGTTTGGGTAATGAAACGTCTGCAAGAAAAGCATCAAGCTCAGAGAGCGCCAAGGACCCCATAGTTCTCCTCCACCTCCTTCTCTCCTTCTTCCTCTCTGCAAAATCAACACCCTTCTAGCACTGATAATGTTACCTAGTTTGGGTAATGAAATGTCTGCAAGAAAAGCATCAAGCTCAGAGAGCGCCAAGGACCCCACAGTTCTCCTCCACCTCCTTCTCTCCTTCTTCCTCTCTGCAAACCCGACACCCTTCTAGCACTGATGATGTTACCTAGTTTGGGTAATGAAACGTCTGCAAGAAAGAAAGAAAGCTCAGAGAGCGCCACGGACCCCACAGTGTCAATCTCTTCCCAAGAGCAGTCGTCATATTTGGCTTACATAAATGCTGTTTCCCTGAAGATGCTATATACGATTCATTGATCTATTCTTTCATATCAGACAATACTTCCTCTATCACAGCAAGCAGAGTATCTCTTTAATAATGCAAGTCGTTTGCTTTAGTTTGGCGAGATTTCTCTCCGTAGGGGATCAACCATAAACTGCTCAGAAATAATTCTATGTGATTTTTTTTGGGGGGGGGGTTGGGGGCCTGGCAATTACCTTGTTTCCAATAGCTTTCTTGGGTGGGAAGTTAAAGCTTCGTACTTGATGGTGCCTCATCTGCAACTTGTGGTGAAGCCCCCTAAATTCCGTGTATCTTCGATAGACGTTCCACTCGTCGTCTTTGATCCTGATGTATACCTGTTAGAAACAGAGAGACGGGATCAATCGGTTTTATTCAAAACCAGGATACTAGATCTAGATCTTGGATGGGAAAGATACCAATCTGGCAACAGTCTTCCCAGAGCAATTACCAAAACACTTCATTTGCGTGTTTGTTTGTTTGTTTGAATCCTGCTTTTATACGAGTCAGTTGCCAGAATTTTGATCACGTGACCGCGGCAGTGGTTGTAAGTGGGGGAAATGGTCATAAGTCTCCTTTTTCAGGGCCGTAACTCTGAACGGTCACTAAACAAAATGGTTGTTAAGTCACCAACCACCTGTACAATTGAAGTTGAGGGGGATCACGAAGCAGGCTTGGACCTGGCTAGAACTTAGATGGAAAAGCACTTGGAAAACCTCAGAGAACTCAACTATTATGAGACAAAGATAGCAAATCACATTTGTGCGGTTGTCAAGGAAGCTACGTGGATTTGCTGAGTGCAAGAGAGCCTTATTTCCATTTTCTTCCAAAAAACGAGAGATGTTTCAACTGCAACAGACATATGTGCACGCATGACTCTATATTCAGAATTTTCATTCCGTTTTGGTCTCCAGATCTTTCATTAAAAAGTAAAGCCAAAGAGACAGAAGAATATAAGGTATCAGCCACATCCACTGAGCAACTGACATACAGAATATATGGACCTTACATACAGGACATTGTTCACTTAACAACTGTGGCAAAAAAGGCCGTAAAACGGGGCAAAACTGACTTAACAATGGTCTCACAGCAATGGAGATTGTGGGTTCTTTTGTGGTCGTTAAGTCAAGGACTACCTGTATGACAAGGGCAATTAAGTTTACCATCAATAAACTCAATTTAGCTGCACTTCTTAACGTAAAAACAACAGCAAGTTATTTGGTGTAGGCTTTGTTCTTACCTGATCAAAACCAGAAAGAAGATATGTGACATAAACAATCTTTTGTCCTACTTGGGAATAAGGCCAGGGGAGAATCTACAGCATGCACTTGATGCTATCATAAAAAAGTACATTTCAGCAACAATGGATTCAATTATCTCCATCTCACAAGGGCACGCTCTCAATTCCAAAAGAGTCTTCTTAAAACCAACACAAGATTTTAAAACCATGATTTCAGGAACAAGTTACTGTCCAGTTGTCTGGTTCAAAGAGATTAAGGGACTCCTTAAGAGATAAGGTTCACACAGTATGCAAAACCAAACGATCAAACATCTTACGGCTTACCACTGGGTGTTGGTTGAACAACAACAAAAAAAAGTGCAGAGAAGAGCAACTAAGATGATTAAAGGCCTGGAGACAAAAACCTATGAAAAACGGTTGCAGGATTTGGTTTGGCTAGTCTAGAGCAGTGGTGGCGAACCTATGGCACGGGTGCCAGAGGCGGCACTCAGAGCCCTCTCTGTGGGCACGTGCACCGTCACCCCAGTCCTAGGCCTTCAGCTGGGTTTTATAAAACCTTTTCGCTTTAGGCCTCCGCCGCCATGTGCAAAAAAAAAAAAAAAGTTCAATCAGTCAATTTCAACTTCTCGCGGGAAAAAAACGATCTTGCAAAGTTGGAATTGATTGATTGAACTTTTTAGTCCCACCCAGTCTGCCATTACCACCGCAGCCACGCCCAGCCAATGAGCCACACCCACCCGGCACTTGGCGATGCATAAGTGGGTTTTGGGTTGCAGTTTGGGCACTTGGTCTTTAAAAGGTTCGCCATCACTGGTCTAGAGAAAAGAAGGACTAGGGGGGACATGATAGCAGTATTCCAGTATTTGAGAGGTTGTCACCAAGAGGAGGGGGTCAATTTATATACTAACGCACTTGTAGGCAGGACAAGAAAGAATGGTTGGAAACTGATCAAAGAGAGAAGCAACCTGGAACTAAGGAGAAACTTCCTAATAGTGAGGATAATTAACCAATGGAACAGCCTGCCTCCAGAAGCTGTGAATGCTCCAACGCTGGAAGTTTATAAGAAGAGACTGGACAGCCATTTGTCTGAAATGGTATAGGGTTTCCTGCCTGAGCAGGGGGTTGGACTAGATGACCTCCAAGGTCCCTTCCAGCTCTATTCTGATTGATTGATTGAAATACTGTCAATCATTAATCCACTGATACCAAGCAGGACAAACACTGGGGGCACACCTTAATCAGGAGTTTATGACAGAAGAAATCTGCTTTAATTTATTTCAAATTGCTAGTGATTTGGGAGGTTCCACCACCACCACCCCGGGGACTATTGAGATTCAGGATATGATTATTTTATGGGAAGTATAAGCGCTCCCAAACTTCTCCATCTTGACAGCTTACATTCCCCGATTGCTAAATGCAGCTGTCAGAAATGTCTGTGCTATTAATTTTGTGCCTGAACAAAACACTAACATCTCTGCAACAGCTCGGCAGATTCGGAAATCTTGGGGGTGGGGGGAGGAAACGAGGAACGCCGGAGCACAAAACTGGTGCAGGCAACGCGGTTGAGTTGAAAGGCTTTTGAAGGTGGGGTTTCTGCAGTCAAATAAATCCATGTGCAGCGTTGAAGTGTCCAACTTCTGCACCTCTTAACCAGCACCCAGTTGCCTAAAGCTACTCCAAATTATTATGGATGGACATCGCCGCCCTGAAAGAGTTCTGTCTTCTCACGCTGCGGTTTTCAATCTTTCCTATCTGAAGGCTTATAAATCATCTTCTCAACCGCCTTGATCCCACGAGGATGGAAATAAAAGCCAATTTTGTCCCAGAAGAACATAAATATGCAGGTGGGCAGTCTTTAGGGTGTTGTATTTATCAAGCGGGGTAAATTTTAAGGTCATCATAAATGGCAATAATAACACCATTGCCGGGACTACTTTGATTGCAACATAATAAGTGAGAACCAGCGTTAGCCGTAAAGTCGCCCGAGATCCATTAGCCTGGTATTCCACATTCCACATGGAGAATTTCTGTGTTATTCAAAGAACTAGAAACACTAATCAAAGAGATTCCTAGTTACTGAAAATATTACACAATATAACCCCATCACTAACTCGGGTTAAATATATCCTTTGCTATTGTGGGGACAGTCTTTTCTTAACTAAGTTAAGGATGGGAGAAAACTGCTTTGTTTAGATTTATTGCAAACTTAACCAACTGAAACTTTCTAAGGGCTAAGTTTCTTCATTGTTAGTACTCTCCCTCTGTTTTTACAGCTATCTATCCCCTTTTAAAAAGTGTAGTGTGACCTATTGCACTGTATTAAAAAAAAATCTGCTAAAGTAATTGTTTTAGCTAAGCCATTAGCTTATCGGTGGCCAGACACATTTAGAGATTTTTTTTTTAGTGTCTGCTGTTTAGGACTTGTGTCTCCTCAGGTCTTAGAAGCCTAATATTTATTTTAAATTACTTTCTGTGGCAGGGAGGGCATTTATTTCCTTGTTTTACTAAAACATCGTCTATTGCACGTTTCAACACGCTAGAACGGTATCAAAAGACTGATGCTCACACGCCATATTTCGCATTTCTGTGCCAGGATTTATAAAACTAATTGCCTATAAAATCGGAGGGAACGAGCTTTCCATTTCAAAGAGCCCAAATTGTTTTCTATATATGTTCTT